CCTTTCGGGGGAGCCAGCCTGACCTCTGTCCCGTCCGCTGTTCCCCCAGATGTACTGCAGGAGCCTCTCCCCTCGAAGCCACCTGGCCTCCATCCACTCCCCAACCGAGAACGTGTTGATCTACCACCTGACCCTGAAGAAGAAGTGCAATTCTCCCGGCATCTGGTTAGGAGGTTTTCGTTTCCCAGGGGTGAGGAAAACCGCCGTGGGTATGTCAGGTTGCAATATCAGTTCGCAACACAATCTTTGGAATACAAGACTGCAGCCAGTACGTGTTGGATTGGAGAGCTCCACTGAGCCGCTGCTTCTGAGAGTGTCGACACGGGTTTTGGCCACTAGGTGGCGGCAAGGGGACGCTGGGAGAGAGAAATGAGGGTAGAAAGTAACAGGAGGTGGTCAGAGGAAAAGAGGAATTGCAGACTTCCTGTGGTTTTGCAAACACTCAAAGAAAGAAATGAAAACTGGATGAACAAATGCTGTACAGATCCCCCCTCAGACACAAAAAAGAACTTAGAAACAATAAGGGAACTGAAAATGAATGCACATTTGAATGCAAAGCGCTAATCCACAGATGAGAACAGAGTAGCATTGCAGACTTCGATACAAAACTACAAATAACAGTTCTACTGTGAACTTATATCCATTAAAGCCACAATGTTTTAGTACAGACCCTCGGTGTAGTCAGTGCCCAAGAAGAAAGAAAGTGATCATGTGTTCATTTTCTGGGAAAGTTTATTTTCTTTGAAAATCTTTCGTGCTTCTTTTTACATTTTGTTTATTTCTTGACAGCTCATTTGTCAGCTTTAAAATCACAAGCAGTGTCATCACCCATTCGGTTACTAGATAAATACTGATTTAGTTCTGTTCACACTAAATGAAACGTTTGCTGTGATCACTGCAGTAGTACAGTATATCTATAGTAAGTACTGTGACAGTGTGGTAAAGATACTGTAGATCACTGTGACACTGTAGTAGTCGATCTATAGTAGATTACTGTGACAGTGTGGTAAAGATACAGTAGATCACTGTGACACTGTAGTA